AAGTATAGGGTCTTCTGTTTATAATGTCCATACAAAAACAAAGGGTATTTTGATGGATGACTCACGCTCACACAGGTTTACTAGGTACCAGGTAGATACATTAAATGCAAATGTTTTAGTAACACGTAACGTATGAGGCATTCTCTATGCAGTGTTGTATTGAAGTGTGTCAATAGGGATAATTATGTCAACTGTTGACAACTTAGTAAAGTTGTCAACGGTGTGGCAACATCAAACTCTCTTTCTTATTCTTGTTCACCAACCCGTAACAGTGGACAGCTGGACATGGGCCTCAACCGTTATAGGAATCACACTTGACAAGCATTGCAGTAGGTACCAGACGTCCTATGCTTTTGACGTTAGTACCTCCCCGATACTTTCGCGTCGCCACGGAATAAATACGTGGCTTAAAGAATTGGTTATACCGCTAGCTATCGGTTTTATTTTCCATAGTTGTCTCTTACGACGTCATCTGTTGTTGGATACTCTATCCTTATACTAATCTACCCTTTAAAGAGACGTGTGTATGTTTCACATGTCTCTTTAAATGGGTAGATTTGTCAGGTTCGCAATGGTTATAAAGCCGCAATATCAGGCCCCTGTATACTTGATAGCCTTGCTCCTTATCATTTGTTTTTGAAATGATGAATTAATGATGATGATGAAGAATATAATACTAATATAATTTTTTTAAATAAAATTATGAACAAATTTATAAAGCGCACAAAATAGATAAACATTATTCTTCAAAAAAGAATCTTACGAAATACATATTGTAATTTACTTTATATGTATTATCAACAAAAAACCTTATCATATCATGGAAGATGCCATCTTAGCAGGGGCGTACTCAGTAGGTATTATTTTAGTAACCCATCCAATATTTGAACCTAAATCATTTTTAACGCACCACTACGCTTCGCAATACAATCTCTATCGCCGCATAATAACAGAAGAAATCTCAGATTTACTGCGTTTTAACGCTTGACAGTATGAATTATTAACTGTTTTCTCTAAAACTATGTCGCCAATTTTCACTTGTCTCTTACCCTAAGTGCGTGACTTGGATTTATTTATTTAAATATATTAAACTGCTGATGATGACAAATTTTTTGGGCGAAATGATTATTGATGAGGTGTTTTCATTAAGCGACCTTCTCGTCATAATATTATGTACTGGTATGATGGTGCAGTGGTGGTATTAATCAAACCGTGTAAATTGGTAATTACAGTCTTTTTAAGCACGTCTTTATTTCAAAATTTGTCGTCACACGAAATCAGTCAGTGTCAGTCAAGCCTGATCATGAATATAGTCTCGATTACACAGGACAAACAAAAATATTCATAAAAAATTATAGCTGAAGGGAAACACCACCGCTCCAGGATACCTGCAGTATGTCAACATTTTCAAGATCATCCCAAACATTACATCAGATTTGACAGTCCACGAACCATCGCAAACTAACACCGATTCCTACCAAGGATGATTCGCGAGGCTTCCTTGACAAAAACCCCTCTTAGAAATGAGAGATAGGGCTGTGCCAAGGAGCGAGACGCGTACAGTCTGTAACTACTTACTACTTTATATGTACGTATCTATAATATTTGATCATATACACTACTATGCAATTATTGCTGAAGCACGAATGGGTCTGATCAACCGGATATGGACCTCGCTCGCAAATGTTTGTTGAGTGATGAAAACCAGAGACCTTTTCTTTTATAACAAAGTATTCTATCTTAGATCGCAGGAGTTACAATATCTCCGCATTCAGACTCTTATTCGCGGATGGATATAGATGTCTATTAGCCACAACATCCTCTTCCCATCAGATGGGCTGTTTGCAACATCTACAAATAATTGTATGGCGTTTATTTCAGGTGTTTTATATTGCCGACGTTTCGAGTGGTGGCCCTGCAAAGCACTTTACTTTTCTAAGTTGAATAATATTGCACTAGTGTGCACTCGATGTTTTTCTAAATAGTTTCATTCATAAAATATTTCATGGTAAGAGAATCTATCACGCCTTTTCCTCGCGTGAATTTTGTGAGAGGTGACTTCATGGTGTCACCTCTCACAAATGTCAACGTAACATGGGTGATTTCATGGGCTTCGATAGACGTAACTACATCGTAAAGCTATCTCGCTAACTTAAGATGTAAAAGGCCCTGTACAGCCTAATACTGCGATGGCCAATCCGTCCGCCCAGCGTTGAGACGAATCCTCACTACAGAGAAAGACTTTTTACAACGGAATGCATTTACTCTTCAATCGATTTTATTTTTGTTTTCGACTAATTAATAGCAATAAAATTATTTATTATCTATAAGTTGGTGAAAATTTGTTTAAGTTGGTTCCATCGCAATAAAAATTTAATTTTTATTGCGATGGAATATTTTTTTATAGCAGAAGGGGCAAACGAGCATGCGGCTCACCTGATTGTAAGTGACTACCGCCGCCCATGAACAACTGCAACACCAAGGAAATTGCAGTTGCTTTACCCGCCTTTAAAAAAGAGTAAGCTCTTTTTTTGAAGGTTCCTAAGTCATATCAGTCCGGAAAAAAGTCTTCTATTAGTCGATTCCACAAGGAAGTTATGGGAGGAAGAAAACTTCTTCTAAATCACACAGCGGTGGACTGCCAATCACCCAGATGGTATGGGCATGGAATCTATAGACAATAAACTATAAAATATCATTTAATATTGAAGTTAAAATACTCTATCAATGATTTCTCAAAACATCACAAGACAAGTCTTCACATTAACGCAAGATAACCGATATATGTTCAAAGATAGCATCAACTCTTGAGGTTGCAAGGACAGCACGATACCATTGTAGGTGTGTCAAGGGTTTGAAGATAAGGTACAACTGGCGACAGCTAATAAATTTGAAGATGCAAAGTCGAGTTAAAAAAGAGGGAGTTAAATAAAACTATTTCGGATTCGGAATTCGGATTTCATCGCGTTTACTTATTTAAAATTCCTAACACTTACGGGTATTTTGCAACACCCAAAGTCACGCGGATGGGGGGAGGGGGAGTGGATTGAGATGACTGTGACGTCCCGATGTCAAAGTTAACCCGGAATAACTTCAGCTTTTTAATTATTACTTTTGGTCTGATCTACGCATGATGACCTTACTGTGCTTGAGGTTTTGACCTGGTATGGTTGGGTTTAGTTTTAATTTTATTATTTACAGGATCCCAAGTAGGTGATAGTACCCAGTTCTCTATTGAAATTAGGATGTTCTTTAATTTCAGTAGCCTCACGTATCATCTTCGGTAGGGATCGAAGTTCTTTCGCTAGGATTTGTGGTCTATCAAATATCATTACATCACACCGCTGGGACCGTCTAGGCCCTAGACGTATTACATCAACTAGACTCTAGGATATGATCACAAACTGCAGACTTCCCGGAGCGTTGGTGTTTCACGTCAGCTATATGTATGTTCTTTTACGCGTGTTTTATAGATATTTTTGTTTGCCCTATATAAGAGAGACTACATTCACAATCCAGCTTGTACACTCCTGCACAAGGTTTTTTTTATAGTAACATGTGACACAAACGAGCACACAGTTCACCTGATGGTAAGTGGATGTTGTGGCCAATAGACATCTACATTTATCCTCGATTCAAAATGCAGATGCGTTGTCACCCGTGAGGGCTAAGATGGAATGCCTCGTTTCCAGTAAAAAGAGTCTCCGGTTCTCTACACTCACCATACGAAACACAGCAGCGTTAAGCTTGGTAGAGGGATATTACACATAACGCATGGTAAGAACTGATAAATCTTCTTCGACGGCTTAGAGAATGCTCTAATAGAAGCTCGCTTCAAGTTGTAGCCAATCTTGTCTGTTACTCCTCTGACATAATATGGTATTACAGCAGGCACACGCTCGACTGTGGCCGGTTTTACTCGATCACTGTGACGTAGGCGCGGGACCCGAAGCATTTTGTCGTGTAAAACCTTTCGCACGTGAAGCAGGTTTTATGCTAGATGGCCGCCGCCATTACATCAGAATTAAAAGACCACAAACCCTCGAGAAAGATCATCGATTCCTACCAAGGATGATCTGATTGCGAGCTTATTGAAATTAAAAATTGTCTTAATTTATAACCGTCATTTAACCGGTGTACCGGTAAAACTAAAATAAAGGTATAAACGAAACGAATTAAGTACTCGTACAATTGACAATAACAAAAGGACATTGGTGCAAAATTATGAATTTGTTATGAAGTCTGTCCTATTTTACGCTTTGCTACGAAAGATTCAGACAGATCTTGGAATCTCAAAACTCGTTACATCGGATTCCGTATTTTGAAAGCGGTTTCTTAAAACCGTAAAAACCGAAACCAAAACGAAACCGTATCGAGGAGTGAAACTTTTATCAGAAATGAAAAATAACTCTGCTAATCTATTTATCAGACAAAATTAACATTTGCGGTTTTACAAAAATAAAATCTGTTAAAATTACCGTTACCGTATTTACAATTTCTCAATAAATAAACTTTGATATAAAAAACTGAATATATGAAAATATTTTGTGTATAAAATGTAATGAAGTACGTAGGGGCGTAGCTACCGCCGTATCAGCCGTATCAATGATACGGGGCCCCCGGGCTACAGCGGCCCCGAACGTATGTAAGCAAAAATTTTAAGGACTTCTATGGGACAGGATGTTGGTTTGAATTGTTTGGCTAGCTTAGTTTCTAGTATAATAATAGTATAATAGTCCATAGTATTAATTGTAAGTAATAACTTATAATCAATATATAATTATTTTAAATCAATGCGAGAGTTTTTCTTCCTTTCGTGAAAAATCTTTACCCTTCATTTGGGCCCCCCGACAAATTTTGATACAGGGCCCCTCTAAGGCACGCTACTCCACTGGAAGTACGAATTGTTTTTTAAAATACATTGTGTAAGACTGTTCCTACCTTGAGATCCATGTCTTAACTAACAGTACTGGAATCTTACTTTTTAATATTATACTTACGCAAGTAAATATTGACAGGCTCCTTGTCAGTCCTGACGTCGCAGCCACTGCCACTAACGTTCAACGTGTATACACCAAATTGACCCAATTCCGGACGCAACTGACAAATGAGATCCCTGCAAAGAAATTGAAATAGAGTATATCCGTGTGAACATTCCATTTTATACCTTAGAGCCGACTTCTCCAGTCGCATCTTACGATACCATAAGGCTTATATGCGTTGAAGGTGCATAACATCAGGCATAGTGGTCGCCAACAATCTTACCAATCGTGACTATAACGACAAATCCTTATTTTTATCTACATAATATATTTGTATATATATATATATATATATATATATATATATATATATATTTGTTTATATATAAACAAATGAATATGTTTTAATTTAGTTCCTTAAATAATTATATTATAAACATCAAGTTACATCTATCCTAACTTGAAAAAATGGTTAAGAACCACGCTCTCACAGAATACCAGTGTAAAATAGCAGCTTAATGCTGCTGTGTTTCGTACGGTGAGTGTAGAGAATCGGAGACCTATTTTACTGGAAAATAATATAAATTCTATCTTAGTCCTCACGGCTGACAACGCATCTGCATTTTAATTCGCAAACGAAGATAGATGTAGATGTCTATGGGCCACAGCAACCACTTAAAGACGACAACAGAAGGTAATCCAGCCAGTCGACTGCTGTGCATAAGGTTCTTTTTATTTTTTAAGGAAAATGGAGTGACAAAATGTCCACCTGACACACCTGATATTTAATTTCTGTTAACGGTTAAGGAAAACTTCGTAAGAACTAAAAGAACGAACGTCTAAGAGTGTGATTTAAAATTGTTTATTTCGAGGACAGCGTCGTAAATAATCTACCCAGCTCTATCACCTCATAAGGTCCCCTCCATAAGGTCATTTTCATAAGGTCAATTAAAATCAGCTTTTGACGTTCAATAACTGTAACTGTTTAGTAAAGCGACCTACATATTTGAACGGTCAGTGCGGAACAAAATAAGTAGTTTTTGAGATTAATATTTTTATTAAAATTATCAAGCATGCATTAGTCCAGAGCTGGACATGGGCTTCAAGGATAAAAAAGAGGATTTGTTGAAATAGTGACGATTGGTGAGGGTGTGTTGGCGACCGCTATACCTGATGTTATGCACCTTCAACGCTGCGCTCGTTGCCGCTCTGATTTTTTTGACATTTTTTTAAATCAAAGTTACAGCCTATATACGTCCCACTGCTGGGCACAGACTTCCTCTCATTTCTGAGAGAGTTTTAGGGCAAGGAAGTGTCCGCCGCGCTGCCCCAGTGCGTGTTGGCGAACTTCACATGTCTTCAACACATTTTTTTTGTCAGACAAGCAGGTTTCCTCACGATGTTTTCTTTCATCGCCGAGCACGCGGAAAATCAGCACTTAAAATTGCAACTAACAGTTTCATTCATGCCGGCGGGGATCGAACCCGGGTTGCTCGCGAACGCTTTACAGCGAACGCTAACCATCTGAGCTACCACGGCTTTTTTGACATATAGACCCATAAACGACTAGAGACGACCTCTAAAGTCTAAAATGCAATGCCCAGATACCTGATAGCTTGGAACACAACAGTTTGTCACTGCAGAGATAGGTAAAGAGATGGAATTTTGTTTGTTCTTGATGGAAATTACCGTTGTAGCCTATTACATTCCACTGCTGAACACAGTCACCCCCATAGATTGCCTCATGAGAGGGATATTTGCCATAGTGGCCACACTTGGCAAGCGAGTAGGCAAGCGCAGTTTTTTATTTTTAGTCGTTATTAGGGAGACGCTGCTGCCCATCTCCTTATTTGTTTCTCTCTGTCACCTCTCACGACACCCACGGTATGATATGGGATAGTGAATATTCTTACACCGCCACTACACGGTAAGTAATATTAGTAATATTGTAATGGTAATTATTTTGTGTAATCGTAATGATGATAATTACAATTTACGAATACAAAATATGTTATTCTTCTGAAAACTTTCTTAATACTGCTAAAATTGTCAAAACCTTCATATTAAAATGTTTCCCATTCACTTTTTAATTTTGTTAATTATTTATCAGGTAACGCCTATCTATTGCAAATTATGTAATTTTAAGCCATTATAATATTCGTAATAGCTTTTCGTCGACAGCCGGGCTCGTGTAATCGCACCAACGCAAGCGTAAAACTGTCGCAAAATAAAAGAAGCCAGCCGCACTTTTACTTTCCGCGGACGTAACCAGCTGCTTACCTCTGTAATTTATTGGACAGTACACTTATATTTATTTATTACACGATCATTAAATGACATGTAGTAGAGACTTGCTGTAGCTGTATTATAGTTGTAGCACGAAATAATTGGCTTAACCGGGAAAGGACCACGCTCTCACATAATACCAGCGAAAAATAACAGTTTAATGTCTCTGTGTTTCATATGGTGTGGTGTGGAGAACCGGAGACCTTTTTACTGGTAATGAATCACTCCATTTTAGTTCTCAGGTTTGACAACACATCTACATATATTTTGATTCTTAATCGAGGGGATGTCTATAGGCTACAGTCGACCACTTACCATCAGGTGGACAGTGTGCTCGTTTATCACCCACATTCTATTTAAAAGAAACTTGGCCATCTTTTATCCTATACATTAAGTGAGCAATTCCTGTATATATTTATTTATTTATAATATTATTTTTCGTATGTAAAAAAGTTAACAAATGGCGGACTTAATACGAGTACCTTCATGCATTCTCCTCCAGTCAACCCTGGGCGTAGAGATGATAATGTGAATTAAGCTGATATTCTATGAAAGCGTGGTCTGTCTCCCGTCAAACCGACCCATACTTCCTGCAAACTGCAGCTGCAGTGTGGCTCTACCATGCAATTTTGACCTAAAGCCCACTTGTTGTAAATGACGCAACTGAAATCCTTAACATAATTTATTTTAAGTTTAAGGCAAAAGGTCTCGTAAACGGGCTATAAAAATTGCATATTGATGGAAATCCTACGATGCTTTTGCTGAAATATTGTTGTGCAATACCTTGTACGGCATATTCGGCAATATTGCTTCAAATGTATCGCTGAGAAATTGAGTTCATAAACGTGAAGCAACACTGAGGCTATAGGCTAAACAACATTGCATTACATTGCGCGATATAGACGCAAACTTGAAGGCTACAATATACCTAATTGCAGCTAAGAATTGCCACAAAACAACCCGTTTTCTAGCGCTCTAAAATTTCTATGTATGACGACAGACAAAGCAACTCACGTGGTATTTCCAGCGCTCATGTACTGTGAGCTGACATCCTCATAAACTCGCCAGGTGGCGCGCCGAGCTGTGCTCACCACGAAAGAACTCTCTACGCCGGCTTCTAAAGTCTTCTGAAGCTCGAAGGGACACTAGAAAACATAAAAAGAAAACTTTTAGCTAAAACAATTTCTACCGTAAGTAAAAATAGGATTTAACTAATAGGTGAACATAGTTAAAGGCTTAGTTATCTTCTCTGTTTATAAAAATTAACACTAACAATTACTGTCCGTTAGTCTCGCTAAACCTCAAAACAAGTGCGACCGGTTTTGATGATTTTTTTGTGTGTCTGTCGCCTCTCACGACACCCACGGGACGACATGGGGTAGTGGATATTCTTACACGGTCACTACACGGTGTCCTAAATTCATCACCTAATAATGTCATAATTCTTCGAATTTAGCATCATTCGACATGGGTCTATTCTGAGCTAAAATGAGGTTATACGGCCTAACTAACATCATGCCTAACATCATTCTCACGCAAAGGTGTACGTGTAAAACAATGTGAACGCTATCCATTCTGAAATATGTGATACTTATTCCGCCTAGTCCATTCAATTAAATTGTACATTGCTAGCGCCTTTGCATTTGTAACAGTCGTCAAAAGGCGACCACTTCTCTCTTTATCCATTAATCCCATTTGTAGTCTAACAATCGATTCGGCCTTTTTTTTGCTGAGAAAGTTTTCGACGAAAATCCACTTTTCTGTGAATCATGAAAATACGATTGTCCGTATTTTTACTTATAAATTGTAATTAAATACCTATTTATTTAATTATAACTGGACAGTGTCGCATTCGTAAAAATAAAAAACCTTTGTTATCCTCAACATTTTCTTCGTGGCCTGTTATATTGGGGACCGTGACCTAGTATTCTCAGTAGGATCATCACAGCTCATGACTAAGCGTGTTGTTTTATTCATCTCTGGAATGTAATTTTAAATAAAACTTCTTTTGATAAAAAAAAGACTTCTAAATTGAACGAAAGTTTTTCGGGAGAAATCATTATGTAAATAAACCTCTAAATACTAAATTTTAATTTGAAATATTTATTGTTTTACGTATAAAAGGATGAAAAGAAAAAATTCAAATCTGAATTCAAGTTGTTAGGATTCCTATTCTCTGCCTGGGACTGGGAGTCCGTTGATTTAAATTATCTATTTCTGTCGCCAACCAACAGTGCGAAAACTGCTTTGTTCCCATGTGGAGTACAGAGAGTTAGTGTTATTACAAGCTCTGAGACATGCTCAGAGATGACAACGCATCTGTAGCAACTTACATATCTTTATGTCTTTATTTATTACTAGGAAACGTGTGTGATCGTATATCCACTTCGGACGGGCTGGACTAACGGAATTTGCATATTTTTTTAATTTAGATTATCCCTCTTGACTATATACAATCATAAAGTCACGACTGGTCTAAAATAAAAACATAGGATGCATAGGTACATGTACATATAGGTACATGACCAAACTTTGTTGAAAAATGATAATATTAAAGAGGCATTTGCATCTTCTCTTAAAGACAAGGTGTGGCTATTTGGAATTCGTTCGCAGAACGTCACAGGAATCGGCATAAAACAATTATTGCTAATGAAATTAAAGTCAAAAATCTAAACATAGTAAAGTTGCAAAAAAGCTCAGTTTTTCGCTAACACATTGTTGTAGCAAAAACATATATGGATGATAACGAAGCAAGAGAGGTGTGTTAGCAGGGGCGTAGCTACCGCCGTATCAGCCGTATCAATGATACGGGGCCCCCGGGCTACAGGGGCCCCGAACGTGTGTATAAAAAAATTCCAAGGACTTCTATGGAACAGAAAAGGCTACCACTATCGTCTATAGAAGCAAAGAATTTAGATAAATTGAAATCGGCTTCAGCTATGAATGCCGCCGAATCGTCTTCAGCTATGTTCGCTGAACAAAAGGCAAGAAAAGTGTATATTTAATTGTTTTTGGCTAGCTAGTTCCTAGGTGTATTAGGTGAGAGGCGCACTGAACCTAAACGTTAAGTTGGAGAGGTCTCGTCTAATGAAGTCAACGCTCCGTCCCCTCTAATCCAAAGTCCCGAAACCTTTCAGCTCGAGCTATGAAACCGTTTTCGTTTCTAGAAGATTGCAATGTAGTAAACGATATGAATGACGAGCTCATGGAAACTGTCTATGCGGTTGGAGCTAAGTTTTGTAAGACCCGCCGCAGAAGAACACAAAAACTCTCCGATCACACTCTTAATCTCATGGCTGTTAGATAGGATATGAAGCTGCAGTCTTCAGTAGATTTGATAGCATACAGGCAACTGAACAGACAGATCTCCAAATGCATGCGGCTGGACTTACGCAACTTTAATACTGCTTGTATTGAAGAAGCAATCGAGCGGAACCAGGGCTCCAAAGTCTTTGCTAGAGATCTGTCTGCCAAAAAGAGCCAACTGTCGAAGCTGAAGACCGAGTGTGGCAGCGTCGTTTCCGGGACACCTGACATTTTGAGTGAGATTAAAAGGTTCTATGGGCAGCTGTAGACATCATCGTTGGAGCCACACGCAAGTGTGAGTAACGATCCAAGAGCGAGTCTTATCCGACACTATTCCGAAGATATCCTGGACGTCAGTCTGAGCGAGATTAGAATGGCTCTCCAGCATCTTAAAAACAGCAAAGCCGCAGGCGAGGATGGAATTACAGCGGAGCTTCTGAAAGCGGGTGGAAAACTGGTTCTTGAAGTACTTCAGAAGCTCTTTAATTCCGTCCTCCATGGTGGCATTACACCGGAGGCGTGGAGCAGAAGTGCAGTGATCTTGTTCTTCAAAAAAGGTGACTACGCTCTCTTGAAGAACTACAGACCGATTTTCCTTCTGAGTCGCGTCTACGTGTTATTTTTGCAAGTCATTACGAATCGTCTCGCGCGCAGACTTGACGACTTCCAGCCTCCCGAACAAGCCGGTTTCCGAAAAGACTTTAGCACGATAGACCACATACATACCCTTTGGCAAATTGTAGAGAAGTCCGAGGAGTACAATTTGCCACTATGTCTGGCATATGTGGACTATGAGAAAGCCTTTGATTCCGTCGAAATTTGGGCGGTGCTGCAGTCCCTTCAGCGGTGCCAAGCTGACTGTCGGTGTATCGAAGTGCTGTAGTGCTTGTACAGTAGAGCTACGATGGCTATCCGAGTACAGAACCAGAGTACGAAACCTATCCAATTGCAGAGAGGTGTAAGACAGGGGTGACATTATATCCCCGAAACTCTTCACCGCTGTATTGGAAGCCATTTTAAAGCTTCTGGACTAGAAAGGATACGGTATTAACATCAATGGTGAGTACATCACTCACTTTCGATTGGCCGACGATATAGTCCTTATGGCAGAATCGCTGGAGGACCTAAGCACTCTGCTCAATGACCTCAATAGTGTCTTCCAACGGATAGGTCTTAAGATGAACATGGACAAAACAAAGATCATGTTTAATGTCCATGTCACACCTATGCCGGTAGTTGTTGGGAGCACTAAGCTCGAAGTTGTTGACGAGTATGTTTACCTGGGAGAAATAGTCCAACTAGGTAAGTCCAACTTCGACCGAGAGGTCAATCAACGGATTCAACTCGGCTGGGCAGCGTTCGGGAAGCTACGACACATCTTCTCATCAGACATACCTCAAAACTTGAAAACGAAACTGTACAACCAGTGCGTGTTGCCAGTGATGACCTATGGAACTGAGACGTGGTCATTCACTGCTAGCCGGATGAGGAAGCTCAATGTCGCTCAGCGAGCTATGGAGAGGACTATGCTCGGAGTTTCTCTGCGTGATAAACTTAGAAATGAGGATATCCGCAGTAGAACCAGAGTGACCGACATAGCCCAACGGATTAGTAAGCTGAAGTGGCAATGGGCCGGCCATATTGCTCGAAGAACTGACAACCGATGGGAAAAATAGGTTCTCGAGTGGCGGCCTCGTACCGGCGGACGAACTGTGGGACTAATTTTTGACCCTTTTCACAGCTCAAGATAACGACTACAAGAGGTGACAACGCATCTGCATTTTGATTCTTAATCGTGTATAAAAATGTAGACGTCTATGGGCCACATCTACTTTCTATCAGGTGGACTCTGTGCTCGTTGTCACCCATATTCAATAAAAAAAGTGCTGAAGTCATCATTTTGGACGTATTTAACTCTATGCTTTAAAGAGAAAAGGATATTAATAACGTATTGACAGGACAGGAGCTGTAAACGTATAATAATATGATATTTTTTGATTATATAGATATTTTTGTTATGGTTGCGGTTCTGGATAGAGATATGAATTTATCTCGGATATTCGAATGTGTACACAAACTATTATACTTTTAGATATGGTATATAAATAATATTTATGTATAATGTACGTTGCTAAAAGAAATATTTTATAATTATACCAAAGAAATATTAATTATAAGAGGCGCATAAAATCAGTTGATTGAAATGAATGAATGAATGTTATACATGTAACGTCTAATAGATATGTAAAAATTATTTTTGTACTACAATAATAATAATAATAAAATAAATCTACTCAAAATAGTTACATTAAAAACTTCACCCCTATTTTCCCAACCTTAGGGCTGAAATTTTTTCTCGAAATGTAAGTAAATGGGAGTACCCTCTAGGAATAGTCTATTCAATCAAAAAAAAAATTGACGATGATATTCCGTTGCATACATACAAAAAAAGAGTCGGTTTTTTAGAGTCGGCTTAAAAAAAGCATTGCAACGCATGCCGGGCACAGCTAGATATTCAAAGAGATTTAAATATACATACTCATTACTTAAATTTCTTTGTAGATAATTCTTATTCTCGGAAGTAAATTACGATTATTTGAGACTTACAGTTACAGCAGACAAACTAAATTAAGCAACATGTAATTACATACATTTCACTTAAACTTAAACATTTTATTACACGCGTTGTTAAGTAATTCAATAATAAAGTAAACAAAGTCGGCGGCCATTTATTTAAAGTAAATAACGAGAATCATATAATATGTTTGTTTCGAAAGAAAGAGTCTTTGTTTGCAATCATTTATTGCAATACGTAATTATATATTTAGTTCCAGATAAG